CAAGCCGGGGGGGGAAAAACAGGCAAAACCAGGGGAAAGTCTGCAGGAAAATCCCGCCACGACCCGTCTTGCGTGAATCCCGCGCACAGCACCCTTGGCTCAGCCGCATCGACCGCCCGGGGGCTGCGCCGAGCACGGGCGGCACCGCTCCTTCGGCACTCACAGACCCGGCACGTGCGAGGGCAGAAGGGTGCCCAGCAGCTACAGTGCTTCAAGTGCAGCAAGGTAAAACAGATTTAAAAGCCGGGCTGACAGCGGCTATTACTCACACTACAGAAAACGTACGACACAGTAACGTACCTGGCAGTTATTCTAACCTCTTTCAAATATATGGTGTCACACTATGGAAAGACAACTGAAGATAGTCTCTTGTCAGCATTTTTACCAAAACACTTGTATTTTTATCCGCACAAGATTTTCAGCCTGGAAATAAACACATTTTAACACATTCACAGCACAGATCTCTCCTCCTCCACCTCTCACGGTGAGGGCAGATCTTGCTAACTCCACTCCACACGCATAGCACAATCCCTGCTCCTCTTCCTCCTGGTTTTTCCAAGGGACAAAAACTAACAAATGAAACAAAAAGAACACATTTGGGGCTCTGCTCCAAACCCACATGCTTCTAAACTAAGTCCCCAAATTTACGGTCACGGTGGCAAACAAGCTGCTGGTGCTCTATGGCCATCTGCACGGCTTCTTGGAGAGACTCATGGTGCCTGTATTTAATGTGCAGCAGGAGTTTTACTCCTACTGTACCCAAACTATGTGTGGGCTTAAAATGAAGCATGCACAGATGCCTTCACACAACTGAAGCCTCAATTCTTTCTCCCAAAAGGGAGGCTTTTAGTTAATAATGGGAAAAAAAGAGACTTTTAAAAATCTTTTTTCTTCTTCAACAGCAGCTCTGTTAACACTGAGCACGGCTGAGGGAAAAAATAGTCCAAGTTTAAAATATCTTTTCTATTTGACATTTCTAAGAGCATGTATATGTGTGTATATACCCACACACGCAACCACACGTGTACATACAACTCTACAGCCAAAACAAACAACAAATTCATATTTAAATGCTACTGATGCCAGATAAACTGCAGCCAAAGAAGATAATTTTTTTTCCTAAAATTTTTACCTGCATTAAATTAAAAACCAAACCAAATTTAAAATACTAAATATTCTCATTGCTTTTAACAGCTAAGCTGCCGTGGTATTTTACTGTAGGAGAGCAGTAAATGAAGATTTGTTAATGATGAACAGAAATTGGTTAAGCAATTTGGTTTTTTAAAGACTGATGTAACAAGACAGATTGAGGGGGGTGTGAGAGGAAAGGCTGGGGAAGGGGGGGAGTAAAAACACACACTTAAAAAGAGTCATTTCACATTGTAAAAAAAACAGCATGATTTTCTCATAACACCAAGCAGGCCTACAGCATACAAAGCAGGCTAAGTACAGGCAGACTTTAGACAGCTACTGGGTCATTGACATCTGATCTGCGTGATCTGTCCAAATTCTGGAGGTCACTTATTTTTTGAACGCTTAATTTAAGATTATACCTTTTTTTTTTTACCCAACAAGCCAATTTACATCATTGGAATATTTTTTTCCCCCCATATGTGCTGTGCTGCTGACTCCAGAAGTACTTATAAAAAATTAAAAATACTACAACTGCCATGTGGGAGTGACTGTGTAGGG